AAGGTTTTGTGGCTCTGAATCAAAATGCCCAGGAGACTCCATCCACAGCCCAGCCCCATTTCCTGGATAGGCTCCAGAGAAGCAGCACCGACCTAGCTTACGCTCCTCTTGGTTCAGGAAGAAAGCCTCCCTGAGAGAACTTTACAGGATGCTGTGGACCCTTCAAACTGGCCCAGGGAGCAACAGGATGTTTCTCATGCCACAGAGCCACATGTCACACAATTCAAAGAGCTTTGGCCAAGAGTTGAAGGCTAATGTATAGACAAGGGATCAAGGTTAAAGCTATGCTAAAGAGCTTAAGGTTATGATAGGACTAAGGAGGACACTGAACAGGAGGACACCCAACAACGGCAACCCACATGATACCAACATGGATGGAAGGCGGCTAAGGACCAACCCCTCCCTCACACCCAGCTTAGCCTCACAGAATCCGCTCTCCTCAGGGGCACTCAGACATGCCTGTAACAACTCTTAATTCACTGAAGTTCAAAACTGAAATCAGGTTCAGCTGTAGATGAAGAAAGACCGGGAGGAACGGTGGAGGGGAGGAAGGAGTAAAATTTCTTCCCGATGGAGACTGAGTTTCAAATCTACAACGTGATAAAACCGAACGTGAAAACTTTCATGACTCTATGGAGAAATAGCTCTAAAGAGTTTCGATGTGTACTTTTAAATACAGTGCTTTCAAAGAAAAACGTCAAGGTTTGAGAAAGTCAAGATTTATAGCAACTTCAAAGCCATGATCATTTTTGTTAATAAATGCCAGAATATTCTTTTTTTATCATTTTATTGGGGGCTCATCAGAATATTCTTAGTAGCCATAAACCATGAAATCATTATGTCACCCCAAATCTAAATCTTAACTTGCATATTATTATGTAATAGGGATGTAACAAATTCCCTAGAACTATGAGCTCATTCAGAACCACCTACTGTCCACTTTTTAGCAGCAGTGGAGAGCCATATACGCACCATACTGTAGCTGTGAAATCTCTTTGCCCCAGGCCGTGTGATACACCACCTCGAACTCCACCAGGACATAGGAAATTTTGTTATACTGACGGATGATAGCTTTACCTTCCGGACTCGACAAAATATCTGAGTTTTGCTGTTTTTTAAGACAGGAGGGAAAATAAACATTTCGTTAAAGAGATGGCAGACTCTTTACATATCCAAATCATACAATGGTTTATATTTAAAATGGCATCAAATAATTATGCTACCAGTTTTTTTTTTTTCAGAGATGGGAAAGGCTGGATAAGCAGCAAACTGAAGGAACCAATTATGAGTAGAGGGGGTAATTAGAAAAGGAAAGAAGGAATTTTATAGGAAAGAGCTTATATGAGGCATTACGGGGCTCTTCCTCCAATTCTTCCTATCGGCCCTGACAGACACACACTCTTCTTGGACAATTCACTTCGTCTGATTTTCCTGCATTGCAATCTCTCAAGTATCAGAGCAAATTCCTAAATCTCAGCCCCTTCCCATCTCCAAAAAAAAACCCAGTAACTACAGAAGTATAGGGAACAAAAGCCAATTTCTTCACATAAAACTTGAAAGCTTGTGTCCACTGACTTGATGTGACACTGGGTACAATCTCCTCCCTACAAAGTCCATGAGCAGGCAAGTCCTTGCCCTGCCTCTGGTTTCAGGCTACAGTTTTAAAATTCATTCTTTTTTTTTTTTAACAATTAATTCAAGGATGGCAGCAAATGAAAATGCTAGAAATATAATATTTAATAATGTTTAAATAATAAAATTACTTGCAAGACTACAGTTTTGTAGCTATTTTATTCTATGCTTTGGCATAACTCACAATACCAACCAACCCTTCCATGCCTCCTCTTTTGTTGTTGTTGTTGTTGGATTTAAGCTGATTGACGTTCTTTCTTATTTTTTATCATTTTATCAGGAGCTTTTACAGATATCATAACATTCCATAGTTCAATCACATGGAGCAGTATTGTACAATTGCTACCACAGTCAGTTTCAAACATTTTTTATTCTTCAACTCCTTGATATCGGCACCCCTTTATTCCTCATCCCCACCCTCCACCCCCGAAACACTCATGATTTCTTTTTTCCGCGTGTTACACCATCATCCAATACATCCATTTACATACAATTCTGTTGTTCCCTCCCCTCGCGTGGTTATACAGTCATCAGTGCTATCATTTGCTCCCCCTAATCCTCCCCACTCCCTCACTTCCTGTTCCCTCAGGGAACCATTACTCCTGTTACTGTTACTGAAGGGTCATCTATCTTGGCTTTCATGTCTTGAAATATCTTAATTATACAAATGAACATACACAAGTCTAATGTGATTAATGAGGTAAAGCAAATAAAAACCCATCATAGGAAGGGGAGGAAATATTAAGAACTAGATGATAGTTCTGTGCTTCATCAGGCTTGCACCGCACCCTGGATTTATCATCCTTCCCATGTGGGAAGAAAAAAGACAGCCATGAAAGAGAAAACTTGCAACTGAGAGTGTCACGAGCATCTAAGACCATCCTGGTGCTTTTCAGAAAGCTAATAAGCTTAAGGGCGTGCTCTGCCCTTGGATCGCTGGCGATGCAGCCAGCGGTTAAGCAGCGCGGTATACCCTTTGAGTAATCATCCCCTTCACTAACGATCCACCAGTGACCTCAGTCTGCGGATAAAAGCAACCGTCAGCACTAGACCTGCACTTGATTGTGTTTTCCAGACTTTTTTTTTCAATCGCTTATAAAGTTCCTGGGTTATTAAAACACATAAACTTAGAAGATGTGCCCGCTTTGAGATAACGGGGTTTAAACTGATTTATCTAACTAGTATTGGCTTAGTCTAACTCAGGCATATTTATAAACTAAATTTTCCATGCCCAGCCAAAGAATTGGCTCTAACTCCTTTACTGGACACAGATATTAGAGGATAAAATTTATTTCTTGCACAAAAACCAACTACAACCTATACATATTGCAACTTTAACGATTGGCTTACAAAGAAATAGTTGATGGGCTCACTGATCCGGCGGTAGAGCTGCCTCACCCACAGAATTTTTCCTGCTATCGGAGGCATGTTGCGAGCAAGAGGGGGGTCATCTTTTTGAGAATGATAAAGCTGTAATCAAAGGGCTGCTGTTAATGTTTAAAATCCAACACAATGGAGAAAGCCACATACACAAAATAAAATAGCAGACGGCTTTGTCTGTGTCAGTGTTTCACCATCATTCATGCTTTATTCATAGTAGGTGGTCAAGAAATACATTGATGCATTACAGAGAAGATACCTTAAGGCTCAAGAACTGATATTTACAGTATACCACCCTGAATTCCCACTTTCCCCTTATTTTCTACTACATCTTCTTCTCTTCCTCCTCCCCCCCACACCCCAAAAAGGTTGGTCATGAAAGTGATTTACTCAAATAATCAAAGTCAGTGTGAAATCCTGGGATCTCATGGTTATTTAGCCAATAATTCAGCATCTCTGAGTGTAGCATCGCTTTTGATGGCTCTTTGCCTTTCAGCATCAACTCATTCTCTCTTTGACCTGGCTGTTTTCCCCCAGGCCTCTCTCCCTGATCTCTCTTTCTCCACATGGGCCCAGCCCAAGTCTCCACATATAATCTGCTGCCCCTCTTTCACCTCCCAGGTATAATTGTTTCCTGTCTTTATCCCAAATCTTAAGGAGGTATTCAAGAGAGGGAGCTCACAGCAACATATCTGCCATAATATTCTTCAGAGCCCATATTTCTACCCATGAAAATACTAACAGAAATTAGTATTGCCATACACCCCTGGATGCTGCTTCACCAAAAGGTATCCTGTGCCTGTCCACAGCCCCACGTGACCTACCCACCCAGAGAGGAACGTCTCCAAGGTACTGAACAGCGAGAATCGTGCTCTGAGAATCTTAGCACAAGAGGATGGCAACACCTTCCAGAGGTGTTCTTTGTTTGTTTGTTTACCTTTTTGTCCTATTCCATTTATAAACACAATACTTGCCTTCTTAGTAGCTTCAAGTTCAGCTACGTAACACTGAAGAATCCGCTCAATTGTGTGGTTTATTTCTAATTGAAGGCAGGGAATGTTCAGCTTCTGGAACCTGAAAGCAAGTGAAGGGTAGACCATGAAAAAGTAAACTAGAATTACACTCCAGAGTTGCTGTCCTACTACGTTCCCATTCCCATTCATTCACTTGACAAACACTGCTACCAGGCTGGGAGGCAACAATGGGAAGGACACGTGTGGCCCCAGCCCATATCCGACCTGTAAGGCAGATCTCACTCAAGAGTTGCATGAATAATTGTTTCAACCACAAGGGTTCTGGGAATGCATATAACTCAGAGGAGAACCTAGCCAAGCAAGAGAGGCTTCTCAAGAAAATAACATTTAAACTGAGGTTTTTAAAAGGTAGGGTAGAAAGGGGGAGCCAATTATAAGGACCTACATACAACCTCTGGGGGATGGACAACAGAAAAGTGGGTGAAGGGAGACATC